ACACACACACACACACACACACACACACACACACACACACACACACAGTTAAACAGAATGTGGTCTGATCATGTGATATCTGTCCTATCAGTTCATTGGCTGGTCGGCCTGTTCTGCTCCACAGGCCACAACATAATAGGAAGTGTGCATCAATCTTTAATGTGACATTTAACACAGGCACACAAACGGACACACACATACGTGCACACACACACGTACACACACACACACACACACACACACACACACACCGGATGTTGTTTGAGTTAATTGACCACATGTAAATGTTGACAGGAATATGTTTGCACTTCCAAGATGTCTGCCGTGGTGCGAAATAACTAAGTGCTGCAACTTTCTCTCTTCCTCTGTCTCCATCCTCTTTTGCTTCCTCATCCCTTCTGACCGAGTCACTCCTGTCCTTGCCTTTATAATCTCATTTGTCTTGCGGCCTGTATCATTCAATCATTTTGATGTGCTTTCTTTGTCCGGGCCGCTGCCCAATCGCCTTCTCTGATCTCTCCTCCTTCTCTTTCCGACTTTTCTCGTGTTCTCCGCTCTCTTCGGTTTTCCTTATCTTCTCCTATTTCTTTTCTCTTTTTGTTGCCTCTGTGTCTGCATAAGCTGTGAGTCTGGACACGTATTTCAACTGGTAGATTCTCATCCAGATGGTGCATTTGATCTCATTTCAAGGAGTTGTTTCTTCCTATTTTAGCCAGTTTTAATGTAAAGGTAACCGTTTCCTATAAACCTTTAAATTCTAAGTAGGAAATATAAATTCAACTAACAAACAATGTCAGTAAATCAACCCAGAAGTATAGTAGAAATCCAAAGCCATGGTGCAAAGACTCACTAACATAATTTAAAAGTATTTCCAGACGAGCATACTTTATACTTTTCCCCATGAAATGTACTGTTTTACTTATGTGGTATATTGTTTTGGTGCAGCTAAGAATGCCGTTTAATATGAATCCATGTCAGTGTATCAACTAAAGACAAACACAAGCTACATTCACTACGTCCTTGGTTGGGGCCTATAAGAGTGATATACGTGTACTGTATGTGCTGCACACAGCAACAAATTACAACAAAGTATATGACTCCATCTGTCACTCTACCTCAATTTATCTTAATATCACTTTGGATTTTCACTGGCTGTATGGTGCACAATTAAATAAGGGCTACATGCACAAACGTGGCACTTGAAGGAAATGACTCCCCCACCTCCTCTCTCCCTCCCTCTCCCTCTCTCCTTTGCCGTGTTTCTCCTGCTGTCTCTCTCTCTCCACCCACACACAGGCACTGAGCATAAATCAGGCCCTGTACTTGTAATGGTGATTGACTGTGTGTGTCGTAATAGCTAGCATATAATCACATTTAGAAGATTGTAAATAAATAAAGTGTGTTTGAGTGTGTGCTTAAGAGCATTTTTTGTTTTCTTTTATCTTTTATGGTGGGTGGATGGATACACTTGCTTCTGTGCCGACTCAGTGATATGATACTTCTTGGGATGCTGGGCGATACCACCAGAGAGCAATATCGCAATTGTAAAATGTACCTCTGTGACAAAGAATGAAACTGCTTCTTATTACACAGGGAACCGCCTATCAAGTCTGTGTGATTAATATTTAACATGTTCACTAATAAAACAGGAGAATCAAACTAGAACCGGCTCCATTTCACATGTGCTGCAACAGCCAAAATAACCACACAGAGACACAGTGACCATGTGTACGTACTACTGCGCTGAATCGTTGAGCTGGTACTCGCGGGCGCGGCTGAAACACTCCTGGATGCCTGAGTCGGACCACAGGCGAATCATGGCGGAGAGCAGCTCGGCAGAGTAAGGCTCTGTGTCCTCCATACGACTGACCACATCACACACCATCTTAGCATCCGCCTGGAGGAAACACAAGAGGGGAGAAGCAGGAGGTGAGTATTCAAGTATCACAGAGTGACCATCACAGTACAAAGCATGTTGTGTGTGCCACTTGGTAAACAGAGATTATTTGTTCACGACAGTATCATCAATACTGTGTGTTAAAGTGTATGAGCGATACAAAAATAATTCAGCTATTACATATAGCAGATGAACAAGGACGGTTAGTTTGTTTGTGTTATTGTGTGACTTTGGTGAATCTGAAGCAATCCTTTAAAACACAAAAGTCACAATAACACAAAATAGCTCACTGATCGAGGCAGCGGTAGACCAGCAGCTCTCGTGCTCTGCGAGGTAAATCTGCTGTTTTTGTCAAAGGAGTTTTGGGATTTTGAAGAGAGCATAGATGGATACAAGACTTCAGTTTCCCATCGGAAAGGGCTGTCTGACGGCAAGGTAAAGCGGTGAAAAGAATCGACATATAGCGTACACTTCATCAGAAATTTATTTACTTAAATGGCCTTTTATTTTAGATGCCTAAAAAACAAGTTTTGATGCTGCCCCCGCCGTCCACAGCAGTACATTGCTTTGCTCCTGTGCTGGTACCTCATATAACTCCACTTCACAACATCCGAACTATCCCTTTAACATGGATGGAGGACAGAAAAGACAGAAGAGGAGGTTTGAGGTTACAACAATTACAGGAGGCGATGACAGAAGAAGAGAACGAGATTATGGGGAGAGAGAAAAGAATGAGAGCATTTCCAGCTCACACTGGAACACACAAAAGTCAAACTCCATATGTCATTACGAACCCTGAGTCAGTACAGATTCAGAAACACAACAGAAAGCTGCTGCAGTTCATGGAGAGGCCGGAGTTCCGATACTGTCTTAATATCATCAAATTGCAATGTGGGCAGAGACTGTTGGTCTGCACTGATATCCTTCCTGGCAAAGAGGCAGATAAATCACCTCCAAGTCGCTGACAGAGCTGAAAAGGGAGTAACTGTCTTAAAACCAAAAGCTGTTCAGGTTATATGATCATAAACGTCCTGTCAATAAGGTGCTTCAGTAGCTTCCTACATTGAATGTTTGATATAACCAAACCATAAACCAAATGGTTCCTATTGAGACATTTAATGTTATAGACGAGGAGGATATTGGTGGAATTCAATATTGTACCTTTTCATGCAAAGATTGCATACATGAGTATATCAAGATCATTTATGAAACATTATACTACTTTTGTTGAATCTATATCAGACATGTTTTTTCTGTGTTAGTGGAGAATCTTGCTAGCCACTTAGCTACGAGTAAACCAGCTGCAGAAATCTGCTTTAGATTACGCTGGCATTACAAGCATCTCAACTCAATCTAGCAGTTGATCCTCGCCTCCTATTTTCACTTCATTCTTTGCTGTCATTCATTTCTTTTTCACTTACTTCTACTCACTTTCCACTTCACTTTTATTGCGAGGACACTGAGGCCCGGACCTTTATACTCTTAACGTTTGGGGGTTTCTTATGCTGATACAGCTACAGCTGCACACTTTACTAATATATATATATATATATATATATATATATATATATAATCTTATTGAATAGTATCAACGTGCATACAGACATCTGAGCGGATGGAAACATTCATGTCCACTTGTTTTGGTTTGTGGTTAGTCTGAAAGTCAAATTCTTTCAAAAAGACAATTGTGATCGGGGATGACTTTTGCTCTGTGTATGTGATATTTACCCGTTAGGACTATGAAGTTCACAATAAACACCAAGTGTTCAAGTTTCAGTCAAATGTAATTAGAACGTTGTTAAGTTTTATGGAAAATACAAAATAAATAACTGCATAACTGCTTCTGGCTCTGCATTACTAAATGCACATTCATTGTTGAATATCTGGAAATTGATCGTCAAGGGAAGAAATGCAAAATCTTAAAAATGGATTTGCGTTATTTAGCCAGGAGATATCCATATCATCCGCTGTATGTTACTTTATTGGCAATTCCAAAAACAAATGTCTTTAGGGGACATTATTATCACAAATAAAGAAAATGCTTTGCTCCGGTTGATAGTCATTTTACAGTTGAAAAATGATGGACATAACAGCCTTTTCCTGATAAAAAAGCTTGGTGATAAAACTGTAATAGCTTTATTGGCATAGTGTAAATATTCTGATTGCGTCCTATTAGTAAGCACCATTTCCTAAATATATTACGCGGCATAAAATTCAATCCTATTTTTAGAGATTCCAAATATACTTAAAGCATTTGATGTTAAAGGTGCAATTTAAATCTGAAACTAAAAACATCCAATCCTCCTTCTGTGTAATGCTACATCAATATACTTTCTGAGTCAGCAAGCTTGAAATATGAGAATCAAACACATAACTAACGGACCAACGGACCTCAGCATACGTCACTGGTGTATACAATTTCAACCTACAGGTACTTCGAAAATGTGACATTTCTATTACCGTGGCCTCGGAAATCTATGAGTCAGCAAAATGAATATGAAACAGAGTAAACACAGTTCAAGAATATAAATAATCTCTGCAACACTATACCTGGCTAACTCCATCACTGGAACCATACAGCATTATGTCCTGAAGAAGAAAACACTTGTACCGATAAAAACAGAATCGGGTGGGGATGAGTGTTGTTATTCCCTTACTGTAATGCTATCCAGCCATTATAATTAGATCGCGCAGCACTCAGGCAGATATAAATGAAGGCATGGACTCTTTGGGTTTCAACATACCCTTTAAATTTGCAGCATGCTAAGCAATCAGGCGGAGATAATGACAGATTACGTGAGATTGGAGATTTGACAACCTGATTAAAAACTGACCCACTCAACACCTGGGAGTCGCCCGCTGCAACCAGCGTAGCCTCGATGCATTCCATACACTGAGGGATTTCAACACGGTGGTAGGCTAACCCCACTTAGAAAGTTAAGAAAGCTAATGATATCAGCAAAGACTTCCCCACCGGACAGGGAGGGATGATTGTTGCTGATAAAATGTAATTGCTCTTACATTATATTAACTCAAACCTTTCAAAAAAGGCTTGATTCATTTGTCCAAATTCAACAGAGGAAGGCTTTGATATGCCCATTTAAGAAAGGCATCTCCATCTGCTGTTTTCTTTCTCTTATTATGCATTTATTCCCCTCTTTGATTTTTGGATCATTCAGTTTTTCTCTTTCATTTTCTTGGCCTATTTCTCTGATGGGAACGTCATTAGTTTGGCAGAAGATTGTCCTTCCAAAATATTGTGCCAATCTATCCAGTGTTGACATAAGTGAAAACTTTGACTTGACTGTGAGGCTAGAGGAAGTCAGAGGATCACCAAAGGCAGTAGGATTCATCCTCCAGGGACCATGAATACCTGGAGCAAATTTAAAGGCAATCAATATATTAGTTATTGAAATATTTCACTCTGAACCACAAATGTCCACCTCATGGTGCTGCACGAGTTAGAGTCAGGGAATCGCCAAACTCAGCAGGATTCCCCCTCTAGATACCATAAACATCATCATTAGATACATACATATATATATATATACATACATATATATATACATACATACATATATATATACATACATATATATATATA